GTTATGTCAGACAGTGAACTCACCACAGACTGTCCTACGGTTATGTCAGACAGTGAACGCACCACAGACTCGTCTCTTCATTACCTGCAGTGTTTGTTTATTTGAGGCCCTTTAACGCGGTTATTCGGTTACTTTGGCCGCAGTAATCAGATTACACGAGGCCGAGGCGTCCCTGAGTGCGCTGCGCTGCCTTCAGCTGCTCTCCGGCTCCACAATAGAAGCAGCTTATGAATAGAAATACATTTAAACCCTCATTATGGACGTCAACTGTCAGGAGGTTTTGGCCCAAGGCTGCAGCCAGTGTGTGTGTGTTTCTGTGTGTGCGTCTCTTTTCCCGTGTCGGTGTGTGTCAGAGATTAGGTGTGTGTTCATGTCTGTTTGGCTTCACCTTTGCGGCGTGTGTGTGTGTGTGTGTGTTTGTGCATGTTTGTGTGTCCAAGGCTGGCATTCGTCACAGTGGCTGCTCTCTGTTCCCAGACTCTGAATGTATTCATGAGTTAGCTGTTGACTCAGGTAGTTAGCTCACCTGCCCACACACACACACACACACACACACACACACACACACACACACACACCCCTGCTGTGTCTTTGTCCAGACGATCAACAAAACTTGCCAGATTTCCCCCCTCCGCGCTCAGCAGAAAACCTGTCTCCCGTCCCCGGTCCCTTTGTAAAGTTAAACTCCCATGATGCTTAGCGAGCAGGGACCATTGAAGTCAGCTGGGATGGAGCGGGGGGCTGGGGAGGGATTTCCTGACGTCTAGTTGGGTCCAGATTTCCGAGTCAAAGCGAACAGACGGCAGTTTTCCTGGCGTCGGGAGGCAGAGTTTGGAAGGTGAAGCGTCTCTGTTATCTCCGCCAGGATTCCTGTCGGTTACGTAACGTCGAAGTGACTCATTCAGCCTCGACTGCAGCACAGAGCCGCCAAACCAACAACGGCAGCGACGAGGCCGGTTCCAGAACAACTATTCACGGTCGCTTCCTCGACTCCCAGCAGCTTCTGGGCCTTACGTTGCTCCCGTCGCGCTTTTCATCTGAAGTCCTGCGCCTCCGTTGAAACGACACAAATCATGACTCACAGAAAGACGCAAAATGACCACGACGGCACAAATAAAGCAGGAAAAGGCATAAAATGGCCTTAAAGACACACAAAATGGCCCCGAAGAGACACAAAGTGACAACAAAGACACCGAAGTGATGACAAAAAGATGGAAAATGATGATATACAGACATAAAATTACCACAAAAAGATGGAAAATGAACACAAATAGACACGAATGGACCATAAAGAGGCACAACACAACCAGAAAGACACATAACGACCACAAAAACATGCAGAAAGACCCCAAAGAGACACAAAATACCTACAAATGACACCGAAGTGACGGCAAAAAGATGGAAA